CCTAAACCCTAAACCCTAATTTGGAAGCTCTGAGCCGAAAGGCGAACACGGGAGAGCTTCCGCCGGGTGCAAAGCCACCGCCACCGCCGCCCAAGACAGCTGCAGGCCCTGCGAGGAAGTTAGGATCAAGCTTAGGATTTCGGATGGAGTTCTCGACGTTTGGGTTTAGGAAGCATAAGGGGGTGGATCAAGCTTAGGAGTTCGGATGGAGTTCTCCACGTTTGGGTTTAGGAAGCATAACGGGGTGGATCAAGCTTAGGATTTCGGATGGAGTTCTCCACGTTTGGGTTTAGGAAGCATAAGGGGGTGGGCTTCAGTTGGGCTCAGGCCTCAGGAAACTTCGGGGTCAGAGTAGGTCATGGGGTCTTCGCTGATCGTGGTGACCATAGGATACAGAGGATAAAGAAAGTGGGTGAGCGCTTACTAGATGCGAGCCTACGAGTACTGTAGAGGAAACCCCTAAACCCTAAACCCTTAAACCCCAAAACCCCAAAACCGTAAACCCCTAAACCCTAAACCCCTAAACCCGAAAGAAAGGCTATAGCACCATACTTATGCAAGGACGACTTTGAGGGGCTACTGTCGTTGATTCTCCAGGGCTCTTTAAGAGTTCGGAGCCATGAAAAGGATTCGAGTTCGGGCTTCGAGTCACCCTTCAAAAAGTGTTGATACTATGAATAATACTAGAATACTGAAAATAAGTTTAACAACAATTACTGAAAAATATAAATAGAAATAATAACAGACATAATGGAAATACAAATAAGAATGAAAATAAGAAAATAACAGTCATGATGATAAGAATGATAGTGATCATCGTAAGCTCTCAGCTCCTAGAGCTTTGAGTCTAAGCTGTGCCCTTGTGGTCTCTCTTTTTTCCAGGAGGGGTCTTTATTGGGGCCAGACCATCCAATCCAATCGGTTTAATCGTGTCAGGCCTGACCCTAAACCCTACACCCTAAACCCTACACCTTAAACCCTACACCTTAAACCCTACACCCTGAACCCTACACCCTAAACCCTACATCTGAAACCCTACACCCTGAACCCTAAGCCTCTGTATTCGACACTTTCCCAGGTTCCGCCGCACCAGCCACGAAGCCGCTGAACGCGGCCGGGGGACCCCGGATGCCGGGAAGAGATCCCGGGGGTTTGGAAGCGTGTCTTTTCGGGCTTGAATATGGGTGTAACGGGTTTATGGAATTTGATAGGTGTTTAACACGGATGTTTGGAAACTCTCTGATGTGAGTTCGAGAGAAATTCTTGGGTTGGACTACTTTCGAGCTTCTGGTTCCTGGTTACTTGGTGCCAAACACACGGGGCCCTTGTCTTCACCATGGTTTTGGTGCCAAAGGAACACACGGCTGTGAAGGAAAGCGGCCGGTGCCTTCACACGGTGAAGGCAAGCGGCCGTTGGTTTTGGTGCGGGGTTTTGGGTCTTGGTTGAAGGGCTTCGGGACAGGGTCTGAATGGACTGGCGTTGGAAGCCTCTTGTTACCAAGTTTGATTATGCTCCTAAACCCTCGCCGAACCCTTAAAGCCCAGAGCTTTGAAACACTTTTTGTTTGACCCTAAAAGCTTTCAGCATGTTCAAACACCTCCAAGCCCCAAAGCCCTGACCTTTCGGCCTAAACCCGACAAAGCCCTTTCAAGACAAGCTAGCTTTCAGGCGACTCGGTTCATGCCGACTACCCTGCGCACGAAGAAGCCGTCGCAGGCGGTTGGTTGGTGAGTGCTTTCGGTTTTACTTTTAGATCTGGGTAGTTCTCTAAATTAGGGTCCCTTTCAGGGTCCATTGTATAAGGGTGCCGTACTATATTGGGGACCTAAAAAGGGACCCTAATTTAGAAATCTACCCATCTAGAGAGTTTTCGGGCTTTTTCGTGCTGTAAGGTTTCAGGGCTTAGTTCTGAGGGCTCAGGGTTTCGGTGTCAGGGCAGCTGAGGTTTGGAGTGGTGGGTGTTGGGTGGCAAGGTCTAACGACTTGACCCCAGACTTAGAGTGCACGCTTTAGGGTTTAGGCTTTAGGGCGTCCTGTGTCAGTATGTTAGGGTTGTTGTAAGCTTATACAGAGGTCTGAACACGTGAGGTAGTCATATCCCGACACGACACTATGAACGATACGGTAGCATACCTCGAAAACCTCTTGGCACGGTAAAGGCCCCTGTATTACCGGCAGTTCAGCTCTATCGAATCGCTCAGTCCGGCTACAGTACAGGGCGCTCAGTCTAGAATGGTGCGAAGGTTCAACAGTCCAGCCATCGAAGACAGTGCTTAGGTGGGGGTACGGGAAAGGGAAGACGACCCAAAGGAACTGCCATAGCTGAAATCCTAAACCCTAAACCCTAAACCCTAAACCCTGTTTGTTCTATCACGTCTCATGCTCGCATATGCACGTCACCGGATCCTTCCCGTACTGAGGCCGAGCATGCCATGATACTTTTCATTCTCCCTAAACCCTACGCCCTAAACCCTAAACCCTAAAACCTACGCCCTAAACCCTAAACCCTACACCCTAAACCCCAAATATCTAAATCTTAAAACAGCAAAGATTCCACAGAACTCCTTTGAAGCGCGAGGTCGCTGGTGGTGTGTTGCAGGCCTCTTCGGCGTCGCTATCCCAGGCGGCTGCTGAAAGCTGCACAGAAACCATATAAGGCCTATGGGGGTTCATAAACGATAACACCCTAAACCCCTAAACCCTAAACCTCTAAACCCTAAACCCTAAACCCTCACCATCACTCTTTCTTCCGTAGCATGACCCCCCATATTATATAGCTGTCCTAAGCCCAGAGCCTCGGGCCGGGTTTAGGGTTGAGTGGTTTAGGGGTATAGGGGTTGAGGATTTAGGAAGAGCTCCCTGGCGAGTTGTCTTGCATTCTATCTGCACCGTTGTCTGCACAGGTGTATCCTCAAACAAGGTCGTGAACCATTGGCCCGTTCGGGTGTTTACCAGGCACAATTAGGTGTGTTTTCTGGGCAGAATATCCGCCCCAGCTCTCGAAGCCCTGATCTAGTCATGTAGTCCCAATGGAGTCATTATTACAACTACAGTGGTTGGTTGTTATTGCTATTCCCCTTGATCAGTATTGCTAGGGCCCTAAGCCCTAAACCATGAAGTTGTTTTTGTTGTTGTTGTTGCTGCTGTTGTTGTTGTTGTTGTTGTTGTTGTCCCCCTTTATCAGTATTGCTAGGCGAATCTTAGTGTCAGAGAGGGCAGGTTTGCACAGCCACCCATGTTCTACTGTAAGAAAAATCAGTCGGCGACTAGGAGATAAGGGTTCCTTCTGTGAGGGTTTAGGGCTTCGGATTTTGAGATTGAGGAGTTCAGGGTTGGTGAGGCCTAGGTTTCAGGTTGAGTTTATATGCAAGTCCAGGGTTTGGGGCTTGAGGTTGTGAGTGTTCGCGAGTTTGAGGATGTTGGGGGCTTATTCAGTTTTCAGTAAAGGGTGGCAGCTTTCGTGGCGTCGTCTGAAGACATAAGTGAGGATTCGCGACGGTTCATTAACTTCCAAGAATAGTACTGGAATGGTTTACACTTGAGGTTGAGTTCCGTCCTAAACACGAAGCCCGACACACATCAAAGTAAATTGGAAGCCGGGCCTCGCAACCCCTTGCTTTGGTGGAAGGACGCGCGGAAGAGGCTCTTGTTCACGGAGGCAGGCCCGTAGTTTGGAGTTGAGGATCTTCACTTTAGGTGTTATTTCTAGGTGGTTAGATTCTTTTGCATCATGGTTAGGGGCTTTGGGATTTGGAACCTAGAGCTGCAGATGTTGCGTTAAGTGCTTTAAGATTGATGGCATAGCAAGTGAGGACTTGTTGTCGGCCTTTGAACCATCGAGTTCGAGCAGCAATTCGCAAACTGCTCAAGGGCTTCACTTGGGGTATCTTGGGGTTACACTTCCCGGTGGGCCTTCCGGCGATTGGGGCACGACAAATGGGGATGGGGGTTTGTTGGCAGGCTTTTCCATAGTGTCGAAAGCCGACACCCTCGGCCTAGCCTTTAGACCTAACCCACGATTCATGAAATATAGATTAAACCCTGCGAGGGCGCAAATGCCCTCCATCCTCTCAGCCTGAACCTCAAGCCTCGCAACCCCCCAACCTGCAACCCTCAAAAACTTCAAGAACAGATAACCGAGCGTCCATCAACCACTTGAAGGCGTTCAGCATTCGCAGTGTGAGGCGCCGCGTCCCTGATGCGGTAGCCCCAAACCCAAACCAACGCAAAGTACCCCCAAGACCCCAAACGTTTTTCCCCCTAAAACCCCAAGCCCTGAACCCTAAAACCCTAAAGCCCTAAGCCCTAAAACCCTAAAGCCCGAGACGGCCAACGTCGACACCTGGGAGTTTCCGCAGACAAGCAGTACCTTATTTTCGGGTCCTTATAATAAGGATCCTACTATTTAGGGTAAACCCTAAACCCTAAACCCGAAACCCTAAAATACTAGGGTCCCCTCTTTTCGGAAACCCCCACCTCACCTTTCGGAGGCGCCCAAGGTGGCAGAGAAAGTGAACATCGAAGACGCGTTTCAGGACAGCCCTTGGCGTTTTTTTGTGTGGGTTTTTTGAGGGTTTAGGGCTTTGGGGTTTAGGGTTTAGGGCTTAGGGCTTTGGGGTTTGGGTTTAGGGGCTTAGGGGCTTAGGGGTTTAGGTTTTAGGGGCTTAGGGTTTAGGGTTTTAAGGTTTAGGGGTTTAGGGTTTCGGGGTCAGGAGTTTAGGGTTGAGGGTTTAGGGATCTGTTGCAGAAAGCGGCGCCGGCGCCCGAAGTCTACTC